GCATCTGACTTTCATGTGAATTACATGAGATACAGTTGATATCTGGAAAATACTGAGGATATAATGTATGTAGATTTAATAGTGTGGGTAGTAAGTTGAACATGAGTTTACAAAAACGAAAAATAGATGAACAAATCTCAGCTGGTGATGGTCTTTTGAAATTAAGACCTAAGAAAAATAAAACCAAAAGTAAAACATGTTCGGTTGGTTTTATTGCACGTTCCAACAAAAGATATCTGCACACTCGGCCCATATTTTATGTGATAAACGAAAGAAATCATTGCCATGAAAATGAAGAAAATGGAGCAGATTCATTTTATTCATGGCAGTGGAATTCAAATGAAAGAATTAATAGTGCCAATAAAAAGGATTTGCACCTTGTGGGTACCACATATACCACAAATGTTTCAATACCACACAATTTTGGTGCGATCCAGTGGTCAAATCGAGGACAATTAGCTAAATCACCAACTATAAGAAATACAGATGATCAAAATTATAAAGCGCTACGTATATATGGTACTAACAAAGAAAGTGAAATTATTCCTGGAGGTCATATATGCCATTCAGGGTATGGTACGCATGTCACTTGTGGAAATATAAAAGCTTTTAATGGATTTTATTACGATAAAAATAGACTACCATCTGATCGTTTGATAATTACAGATATGCAAACAGTTATAGAAGATTTAGGTGGTACTGTATTTCTTTATACCAAAGAGAATTTGGGTGTTGTATATCTATTTGGCATACAAGTTACTTCAAGTCCCCAACATACTGATGCTCTATCATATGAACTTATTCATGATGTCACTGGATATACTTATTATGATGGAAGAGATTCTGATGACTAAACTTTTTCTTGTATGTTTTTTATTTATTAATATAAGTAATTATTCGTGTTTTTTTTGTTACGATCAGAAATGTTATTAAGATAGTTATTTTACAAAGGTCTATATTCTAGTAAAGAGTTAATGCTTCGATAGTTATATAAATATCATGTTACTATATTATCCAAATATTGATGTGTTCCAATTTGCAGCTTACCTTATTGTTACTTAATATTTTAAAGTTTGGATAGAAATTACAATGACAATTTGGCTACTTTACTGCAATTTAATAACTATAATACTGTAACTATTAATGCATCTAATTAACCTATATATACAGTCAACTCTTTAAACTAGATATAGATAAACTAAATATAACTTTATATAAACTGAATACAAATTTTAAAACATTTATGTGTTGATAAATTTGGTTTAAGATGTAGTAAACTTTTTAAGCTGAACTTTTTAAAAAATTTAATATAAAAAATGGAAATTTTGGCATGCAGAAAGTTGACTGTTATTTAAATTTTTGGGATTATGCATTTGTGTATATTCATGCGTTATTGTTTTCTGAGTTTCAACAACAGAGAATTACAATTTTATAAATTCACATTAATTTTTCATATAATTGTATATGTTCTTTATAATTTTTCAATTATTTTTCTTTGAAATTAACATATTACTGTTAAACCTCTCAAAACTGATATGCATGGTGGACAGATTTAGTACTAGAATTATATAGCAGAAACAAACTTGGCAGATTAATTTTTTGCCATTTAACAGTTTATCGGTTTTAACAAGATCGGTTTTGAGAGGTGTATGTATAAATTTAAAAGTAATACACATTAGGCATACAAGCTTATATAATCGGTTTTTATATCCCAGCCGGGTCAACAGATTAGAAAACCAAAATTTTTATTTTTTTTACAGCAATTATTATGAGTTAGCTGCGCAGCACGTGGTGCTACGCAGGACCAATACGATCACATATCTGGATATTTTACATTTCTTATGATAAACATTTAATTCATACCCCCTGAGTAGATTGTATGGTGAAGGGTGTATAGCATTATCCGGAGCATTATGTGAAGAGGATATATTAAACTATTATGACAAAACTTTTATACCTTTATGGTAACAAAATATTTCCAATCATAGGTATCACAAATTTGCCACGAAAACTCACACAGACACAATAGACTCTGAAATTCTTGGTCCGGATTTAATACAGTCACAGAGCTGCGCAGGAACACGATATAATTAAATTTAATCAAAAATATGCATTGTACAAGATAATAAATTTCATTAATTATATGATTACTGCCAAGGAAAAATGTCAAACCGGAAATTTAAAATTATTATTATTATACCAGGAACGGGATGATATATAATACCACGAAGTTAGCCGCAAAATCTCACAAATGATTGGACTATGCATTAAATGCAATAAATGCAATAAATGCAATAAATGCAATAAATGCAATATTAAACGTGAAATACTGCATTTAGACTTCACGAGATTGCATCACATAGCACCATATTCATGTGTAATATGAGATATGTTTAAATATACGAACGTACTAACTTGTATCTTTATCGCTTTATCAGGTTTTTGCCTCAATTAATGTGCATTACAATTATTTAAAAACACAGTTGGTTTTTTTTAAAACCAAATATGGATTTTATCATTTGTCCACATGAATCTTCATCACAAATTACGGTGTACCATAGGTACCCAAAGTGACATAGTTTGTATTTTAATGTTTTAGTGTTTTAATGTTTTAGTATTTTAATTTTTTAGTGTTTTAATGTTTTAGTGTTTTAATGTTTTAGTGTTTAGTGTTATAGACATTAAAAATTATTCTATAAAAGGAAATTATTACCAAATTTAGCAAAAAAATTTTGATTTTGAGTTTTAGTGATTTAGCGTTTTAGTGTTTTAGTGTTTTAGCATTTTAGTATTTTAGTGTTTTAGTGTTTTAGTGTTTTTATGGTATACCATAGGTACCCAAAGTGACATTGCTTGTTTTAATGTTTTAGTGTTTTAATGTTTTAATGTTTTAGTGTTTTAGTGTTTTAGTGTTTTAGCGTTTTAGTGTTTTAGTGTTTTAGTGTTTTAGTGTTTTAGTGTTTAAATGTTTTAATATTTTAGTGTTTTAGTGTTTTAATGTTTTAGAAAATTTGTCCCAAATATAGTAGTTGATAACAGGTACATCATGCATATCTAAGCCAAATGATCAAATCAGCCAGAATCGTTCTTGGAAGTTCAGATAATGATCTATGAAATTGCCATAGCAGCACAGCATATATTTTATTTTATCACTAACACAAATAAGCAAAGTTATTTATTTTTTGATTTTAAAATGGTTTTTCTAATAGAAGTCTAGTTTCTTGGCTGTCAAAATAGATTTTTGATTATTGGATGCTGCTGTAGCACTTTCGAATTGTTATATATAGATCATCTAGGGAATTCTGAATGATGTACCTGTTATCAACTACTATATTTGGAACAAAGTTTCTAAAACATTAAACACTAAAATACTAAAACACTAAAACACTAAAACACTAAAACACTAAAACATTAAAATACTAAAACACTAAAACACTAAAATACTAAAATACTAAAACACTAAAACATTAAAACTCAATACTAAAACATTAAAACACTAAGACATTAAAACAATAAAACATATGGTGTACTATAGGTATCCAAAGTGACATAGTTTGTATTTTAATGTTTTAGTGTTTTAATGTTTTAGTGTTTTAATGTTTTAGTGTTTTAATATTTTAGTGATTTAGTGTTATAGATATTAAAAATTATTCTATAAAAGGAAATTATTACCAAATTTAGCAAAAAAATTTTGATTTTGTGTTTTAGTGTTTTAGTGTTTTAGTGTTTTAGTGATTTAGCATTTTATTGTTTTAGTGTTTTAGCATTTTAGTATTTAGTGTTTTAATATTTTAGTATGTGTTTTAATGTTTTAATGTCTTAGTGTTTTAATGTTTTAATGTTTTAGTGTTGGTTTTAATGTTTTAGCATTTTAGTGTTTTAGTGTTTTAGTGTTTTAGTATTTTAGTGTTTTAGTGGTTTAGTATTTTAGTGGTTTAGTGGTTTAGTATTTTAGTGTTTTAGTGTTTTAGTGTTTAATGTTTTAGAAAATTTGTCCTAAAAATAGCAGTTGATAATGAGTACATCATCCAGAATTCTCTGAATGATCTATATATGACAATTTGAAAGTGCTGCAGCAGCACCCAATAATTAAAAATCTATTTTAACTAACTAAGAAACTAGACTTCTATTAGAAAAACCATTTTAAAATCAAAAATAAATAACTTCGCTTATTTGTATTAGTGATGAAATAAAATATATGTTGTGCTGTTACGGTAATTTTATAGATCATTATCTGAACTTCTGATGACGATTCTGGCTGATTTGATCATTTGGCTTAGATATGTATGATGTATTCATTATATTTGGGACAAATTTCTTAAAACATTAAAATACTAAAACACTAAAACATTAAAACATTAAAACACTAAAATACTAAAATACTAAAATACTAAAACAATAAAACATTAAAACACTAAAATACTAAAATGTTAAAACATTAAAACATTAAAACACTAAAATATTAAAACACAAAAACACAAGCTACATTACTTTGGGTACCTATGATACACTGTAAAAATGTCAAATATCACATGATATTTTAGTAATATATGTATTGTTACAAAAAGCCATAAATTGATGTGATTCAGAATTAGGACAGTTCATTTTAAATTTTTTTGATCCACTCTAACAGTGTAATAATTAAATTGAAAAAATATAGTTAGTAGACAAATATAATGATTACTTAATAATAAAACAGTTACAATTGGTTATTCACATCTTATTTTTATAGTGATTACAAAAAAATCTATTCACATTATGCATTCTATAAATCGAGAATTGCCGATCCAATTTTAATAATTCTGCATTCAAACAAATGCTGCAAACTGTAGTATCTAATTTAAAATAGAAAAAAACAGATTAGTTGTTTATGAAATTTCTTTATTAAATAATGCCAAATAAAATAGGAATAAGCAATTGCTTTGTTAAAGTATTGCTAACATTTCATAAATAACTGAACTGTTTTTAATGTTTTTTTTTTTTTTTTTAAATGCCATAGTTGAAACTTTATTTAATAAAATAGAAAAGAGTTCTATATTTAAAGATTTCAAACTACATTTGTGCTACTAAGAAGGCACCCAATGTGACATTATACCCCCTAATTTTCTATAAAATGCTTATTAATTATTATATAACTTATTAGCTAGAATAGGTTGGAAGAAACCTAAGATATATATCATAGCATTTAAGAAATACAATTGGTTAAAGAAAAGCCTTATAAGAACCATTTTTCTAAAGAAGAAGTATAATTTATTTGAGATATATTTAATGAAAAAGTATTTGGTGTAGAGGAAGTATTTGGTAAAATATATTTAATCTGTTTAGTTTTAAAGGTAATATTTCGGGCTTGTTTCATTGATGTTGAGAGATGTTTCATATAGTTCATATTTCCTTGTGAAACCAGTTTAAAAGGTTGTTAGATAGAGTAGTTAAAAATTGTTTAGTTTGTTTAGCAGTATGTGATTTAATATTTTCATAAACTATTAGAGAGTAAATACTGATAATGTAGTATAAAAAGAGGTTATAAAATAAGTTTGAATTATTAAGTGTGAATTGTAAAAGAATATTGAAAATTGTAAGTGAGGGTGTGGTTGTTATCTTTAGAGAGGAAAGTGTATCAGTAATTATATCTGTTAATGAATGTTGAAGATTTATATTATTATTAGAGCAAAGAAGTAAATGTAGAGTATCCTCTAAATTAGAACTGCAGATGCAGTTGGTGTAGTATACAAGTAGGGGTAACAGATATTAAGATTTTCCACAGTAAGAAGATTGTTGGTTAGAATTTTAATTCTTAAGGAGTATTTTGAATAGTTATATTCTAGAGAATTTAAAATATTAAAACATAGTTTCC